GTATCCAGCGGACCGCTGGCGACATCTATCGACACGCTGCAATCGCCACCTACCGGTCACCCGCCGCCACGTACCGTGGGCGCCGGAGCGTCACGTGCCGCTGGAGCCGTGGCACGCCGGGCGGGTACGTTGAGCGATGACGGAGCATCTGCAGGCGGACTGGTGGACTCCGAGGGCGGCCGGGCGACTGCAGCGACAGATGCCGGAGCCGCACCACTCAGCGCAGCAGAGCCGGGGCCCAGTTTGGAGACGCAAGTTTCTCTGCCCGCGTGGGATCACGATTACGATCCATCAGATGACGTCATCCGGAGTCACGAAGCAGCCATAAGACGTCACTTCCGAGTGGTGTTCGACGGTAACGATGAGCTGCGCGAGATGACTGGCGGCCCCATGGTCATCGAGCTGACAGAGGACGCAGTCCCCACCGCTCTCACAGCCGCCAGAACTATCCCATACTGCTGGCGTGAGCAAATCAAGAGCCAACTGGACGAACTGGTGGCCAAGGGCATCGCAGCCCCGGTGGACTACCCTACAGAGTGGTGCCACCCCATGGTGCCCATTCCAAAACGCCAGGGAGGAGCCAGGCTGGTCGTGGACATGACCGCCATCAACAGATTCGTGAAGCGGCCCACCTATCCCGTCAGGCCGATTCACGACTCGGTGGCGTCCATCGACGGAGACACGCGATGGCTGACCACTCTGGATGCCGCCATGGGCTACTTTCAGGTCCCGATTGACGAGGAGTCGCAAGATCTCACCTGCTTTATCACCCCGTGGGGCAGGATGAAGTTCCTGAGGGCCCCGATGGGCCTCGTATCCTCGGGCGACGAGTATAATCGGCGAGGTGACGCAGCACTCGGTGATATTCCGCGGACTCTGAAAATCGTGGATGACCTCCTTCTGCATGACGCCACGTATCGCGCCCATCTCGCCCATGTGATCGCCGTGCTTCAGCGCTGCCAGGAGACGGGCATCACGATCAACCCACGAAAATTCCAGTTCGCGCAGCCGTCACTGGACTACTGCGGCTATCGCATCTCTGGACAAGGCTACACTGTGGACAATCGCAAGCTGCAGGCGATCTCCGAGTTCCCACGGCCGGAGAATCTCACCGATCTCAGGTCCTTCCTGGGGCTCACCAATCAGCTGGCTGGATTCTCATCGGAGATCGCCAGTGCGGCTCAGCCCCTCCGTGACCTGCTGAAGCAGCGCACCGTCTGGAACTGGACCGTGCAGCACGAGGAGGCATTCAATGCCGTCAAAGGGGCGCTGGTGGCGCCACCTGTGCTCGCCTTTTTTGACCCACAGCTGCCTACGGTGCTGCGGACGGACTCGGCTCGCACCCGCGGCTTAGGCTTCGTTCTCCAGCAGCGCCACGGAGATGTGTGGAAGATGGTTCAATGTGGCTCTCGCTTCCTCACAGACACCGAGTCGCGTTACGCAGTGGTGGAGCTTGAGTGTCTGGCGTGCCTGTGGGCCCTTCGGAAATGTCACATATTTCTGGCAGGCCTTCCTCACTTCGACCTGGTCGTAGACCACCGCCCGCTCATCCCCATCTTGAATTCCAAACGCCTGTCAGAGATCGACAACCCTCGCCTCCAGCGGATGCGTGAGAAAATGTCTCTCTACAGCTTCACCGCCACCTGGCAGAAAGGAGCATCACACTGCATCCCGGACGCCCTGTCACGCGCACCTGTCTGTGATCCCGCTCCGGGAGACGAGGCCGCCGAGGTGACGGACGCGCTGCACGACGCCGTGGTCGCCGCCCTCACCGCGACCTCCGAGGACGGCATCTTGGTCGCTCCGCTGCAAGACCGGACTTTGGACTCAGTCCGGGCAGCGGCCGCCCGTGACCCGGAGTACCGCGAGCTCCGTGACGTCATCTTTACAGGATTTCCCGAGCACCGGCACGAACTGTCACCAGCGCTGCGGCCGTACTGGGGAGTCCGCTCCATGCTTGCAGTGGACGACGGCCTCATCGTCTACGGCGCGAGACTGGTAATCCCGTCCAGCCTGCGCCGTGACGTTCTCCACCGGCTCCATGATGCTCATCAAGGAATGGAGAAGACCAAACGCCGCGCGCGTCTCTCCGTCTACTGGCCGGGGATAGACAGAGATATCTGTAACACCGTCTCGGCATGCCAGAGCTGCCGACAACTCGCCGCCAGTCACCAGAACGAGCCGCTATGGCGAGATGAAGCCCGGCCGACCCGCGCGTTCGAGTCCGTGTCGGCAGACTACTTTCACGTTGCGGGCCGGACCTACCTCGTATACGTCGACAGGCTGTCAGGGTGGCCGTACGTGACGGTCTGCCCTCGGACAGCTTCGGCTGATCACCTGGTGACACAGCTGAGACAGCTCTTCTCCCAGACTGGCGTGCCAGCTGTACTGCGAACGGACGGAGGTCCGCAGTTCGCCTCCTCGACACTTCGCAGATTCCTGGATCGGTGGGGAGTGCTTCACGAGATGTCATCTCCTCATTACGCCCGATCCAACGGTCACGCCGAGGCCACCGTCAAAACCGTGAAGAAAATCGTCGTGGCTGCGTCGGCGAGCGGACGGCTGGATGACGACCTGCTCGATCGCGGCCTGCTAGAGCTGCGAAACACACCACGAGCAGACGGCAGGTCACCGGCTCAAATCCTGTTCGGCCACCCGCTGAGGTCCGGCGTGCCCACTCATCATCGGGCGTTCGCGCCCGAATGGCAGCGTGCCGCCGACGCGTGCGACGCCAGAGCCACCGCTCTTCGACATGACGTCCGGTGCTACCACGATGCTACCGCGCGCCCGCTCTCAGGGCTGCGCGTCGGCAGTCACGTGGACGTGCAGAATGCCGAGAGCGGTCGCTGGGACCGCACAGGCGTGATCGTCGGCGTGGGACATCGCCGAACATACCTGGTCAAGATGCCGAGCGGCCGCATATACTGGAGAAACAGACGGTTCCTCCGACCGTACCGCCCCATGCTAGCCAGCAGCGCGGGGCCACCTACGGAGATCGACCCCAGTGGGGAGCAGAGTCCCCCGGCCGGGCGTATGGCGTTACCTCAGCCACATTCTCGTCTAGAGACACCGGAGCCCACGGCGGAGCCCCGTCGGAGCAGCCGTCAGCGTCGAGAGCCTCAGCGGCTGCAGGTCCGTTGGGATGCGCACACATATGACTGATGCTCCATGCCTGTGTGTACGTATAGATGTTAACCTGGTCTGCTGTTAACGCGGTGAACTGTTTTGTTTGCTGGTGTGTTTGTTTTGCCCCTTTGTTTGCGTTTATTGGTCCGTCTGTCGTTTGTTGCTTTGTTTCGGGTTTATGTTGTTTGAAGACGTTCGCCCCTCGTCTCACCTCTTTATATCGTGGCGAACATCTTGAGGGGAGGTGTTGTGGTATCGGCCGCCCCGGTTGACCTTGACCGCCCCTGACCCAGCGGGCCGGGCGGCGGGCGGCGCGAGCGGGCAGTGTGGAGCGAGACGAGCTCGAGTGCGGGTGCGGTGCGCGCTAATAAAGTACAGTGATTGTGAGACGCGTGTGTGACGGCCGAGGCGCGGAACAGAACAAATGGGAGAAAATTGAAAAGCGTCTGTTTTGCACGAACGCCATTCTAGACACTCTCAAACGTCGAGATGTAGGTAAAATTGACACACTGAACCGGGAAATGGCAACTGTGACCCCTCGTTATGTCCCCGAGGTCATCTCAGGTCACGAACAGAATCTAACAGTTTTCGCTAATAACTTCTGATAGAGGCTTGCTTGAGCGCTGAAAATGCCTTAGATGTGTTCAGCTCGACGTTGCGGATCGACTGATATGCAGCATGACCTTTTTCGGTCAGGTCATGACCTTGACCTGAGGACAAATTTTCAAGTTGACCTTTCAAGGTCAAATTATAGTTCATTCGATGCGTCTGGACGAGAGGAACACGATGCAGGCAAAAGTAATGTCATGGCTCTTTTGAGTCAAAACCTATTGCCGAAAAAAAATCGTTTTTCGTAAAAAAGGCTATTTTTGGAGTTTTTGCCCTCTGGAGACTAAACCGTTGACCTGAGGTCAAATCTGAGAACATTACCCAGAAAGGCCTGTAAAAGGGCTATCGAATGCACTTTTCCGAGGCGCTGTAGCTCTATCGGTTCCCGAGGTAGCCGTTGGCAGTTTCCAAAATGTTGAAATAGTCAGCATTTTACCTTTGGTGACCTCTGGTGACCTGACCTCTGACCTGACCCAAAAAAATGACCGAAATGTTTTCGTCCTTATTTGGGACGTTCTTTCGATTGCCGCTTACTGCGTGTCGCTACGTGGCCCAGGAGCCGAGTTAGAAGGGGGAGAAGGGGGGGTTGTTCAGAACCCCCCCCCCCCCCGGCCCGGCGCGGAATCTCAGAGCACCGGCCCGGCGCGGGCTAAGGTTTATATAACACCTAATTTTTTTTTAACTTTTGGGTTGAAACTAAAATAAAAATAAAAATCTGATGACGTAATTTGCATTTATGTTCATTTTACATATTTTTGACTTTGAATGTTTTTCTCTATCTTCAAAACTGTAGGCATGATAGTTCTCCCCGCAAAACCTTTTTTGGGTCAAAAAATGGCCGAACATGACGTCACTCTGATGTCATTTGTTACTAACCTATCATAGGCTGTGGAAACAATTTTAGACACAAGGTGTAAAAGTGATGTGCGAGAGGGTAGGTACTGAAAGTTTCGCGACGAACTGCGCAGTGCGCAGGTGTTTTAGAGATAATGCGAGAAGACTGGAGGAGTGGAGTGGGGGGGGGAATAGCTCCCCTCCCCACACACAAACACACCATCAGGGCATGGGGTAATAATGCCCTGCACAGTGCACACGAAGACGCGCCCAGCAACAGCAGCTAAGCTTTTGTAATATCAGCTGTCCTGAGATGAGTTCGGTGAGTTTAGCGCCAGTCTGCGCTGCCAGCTACGCCGCCCACCTTATTTCAACACATGGGTTTGGCATCTTTGGCAGCCCGTAAAACAGCATGTGTCCGTCAAAAGGCTGGTCTCGCCCCACCAGAGGGTGAGTCAAGCCTCGGTGCCGGTGGGGCGACTCTGAAAATAGCCGCGGCTGCAGGCTGCAGCTCTGTCCGCCGAGGGAGGAGCGTTTCCCCCGGCCTGAGGTCAGACGGCCACTCCGGAGCGCACCCGCCGCACGTGCACACGCCCTCTCACACAGCCGAGACCAGCCATGCCGTGGGTGAGTCCACAGGGTATCACTGCTATCGCTGATACAGTTTGGGAAGATAGATCGGAAGGGCTCCATTATAATCTTTCCCATTGTACCCGAATCTCATTTGATCGAAATAAGCTGCAAAATCGATAGATATCCGATATTCGGGTCATGCTAATCACTTCAATAACTTAACCCGCGCACCGACGGGGGTCTGCGCCAACTTAGTACCGACGGGGGGGGGGGGGCGGATGACCGCCCCCCCCCCCCTGAGATCTCGAGAACGAAGCAAGATAGCGACAAGCGGTAAACGGCATCGGATACGCACGGTCAAGATCTACAATTTTTACTAAGGTCATTTTTAGGTCAGGTCAAAGATGACGTCACAGGGGTCGAAAAAGTCAAAATGGCGGCGCTAAATATGGAGAGAGTTTTTCTCGAATAACTTTCGAACTAGTCAAGATAGGAACAAACTAAGGGCATCATCGTGATCCTCTAGTCAATCCGCATCGAATGATATATATGTTGACCTCGAAAGGTCAAGGTCAAAGGTTGACCTCAGGTCACGTGACCTCGAGGTCATCATGTATATCATTCGATGCGTCTTGACGAGCTGAACACAATGAGACCATCCACGCGTCTGTACCTTGTTCCTGTACGGAGTTATTGGCCAAAAACCTTTGGTGACCTTTGATGACGTCACATGACCTCACAGCTGCCCAACAGCAAAACAGACCTCAAGGTAGTGAAGGTTGATCGTATATGAAGTCATGTATGGTATATGGGGCCATTCCGACCCGTTTTAGTGGTAAAAACAGGGAGTTGATTTTTCCCCCATTGACTTATAATGGGGAGGTCGCGAAATTGACCTGACCTTAGGTCACCGATATCAAAATTCCGAGATATACAAATTGTAGCTACTAATGACCTAATAATACCCTGCGACTTTCAAAGGCCTCCGACATCTACTGTAGCTCTGGCACGGTGACAAAGTTGCAAAAAAGTGACTTGAGGTTGGGTCATTCAAAGTGACCTGGTGACCTGACCTTTAAAGGTAGGAGGTTCAAACTTGCACACCATGTGTAAAATTGATGTGGTTATAGTCATACCAAATTTCGCGGCGCTACGCGCCGCGGTTTTCCCGCTATTCGCGAAAAACCTCAGGGGGGGGCGGATATCCGCCCCCCCCGTCGGTGCGCGGGTTAAGTACCAGGTCCGTCCCAGCTTGAATCGTAATGAATACTGAGGTTTTTGAGATGATGTGCATTGTGCACAACACGACCGTGAAATGCGCGCCAAGCGAATTGCCCGGAAATTCGTTTTTATCAAGTGCTTTTATTTTCATTACATATAATTATGATTGATATTAATCGATTCATTAAAAAAGTGAAAAAACAAAAGCATGAAACATTACTTTTTGTGCTTTTTGTTTGTAAGACGGTTAAAAAATTACTTAATACCTGAATAACCCTGATAACCATGTTTCCGTAACAATTGCATGACATTCTTATATTTTTATTAAAATATGTCCGTCTAAAAAAATATGTGTGGACAGGTAAAAAATGATATCCCTATTGCTCGGTGAAATTTGATAGATATTCGATACATATCTTGTTGAACTCAGTAACAACACTGTAGGGTCAATTCATTAACATATTCATCGTGAAATAGCCGCTAAAAACTCCGTTGTCAATCGGAAGTGTCCTCCACCTTGCGTCATGACCCCGGCGACCGAGCCAAATATAGCCGTCGGCCAGCCACCCGGCCCCGTATCTCGTACCCACCGATGCTCGGCCCTGGCACCAACGCTGAGCAACTGAACAGTCGAAAATGGGCAGATGATTTGTTCGGAACCCAAATTTTCGGACAGTTTTTAACCCTCGCCCGTATTACTTCTTTCCCGCGCCCCGCTGGGGGTTCTGGATTTCCAGGCCCTGCTGGGAAGGGGGGCGGGTTGAACACAATTCCATGACAAAATATCGAACGCAAATTACCAAAGCAAAAAACGAAGTCGTAAAATTTCGAAATCGCAAAATGCCGAGTCCCATAATATCGAATCCGCGAAATATCAAAATGGCATAATATCGAAATAGCAAAATATCGACTCGCATAATATCGGAATAGCAAAATATCGAAATGGCTAAACATTGAAATACATGAAATAATCTAAAAGACAAAATATCGAAAGCGAACTATGGAAAAGACAAAATATCGAGTGCAGAATGTCGAACAGACAAAATATAGAAAAGACAAAATATCAAAAGCAGAAAATCGAAAAAGGCAAAATATCGAAAATTCCTAACCTAACCTAACCTAACTCAACCCAACCCAACCCAACCCAGCTCACCTCTTTTTCAGTTAAAAACAACAACAGTCGGAAACGTCAATTCATCAGCGATTACATTCAATATTCTGCTTTCGATATTTTGGTCTTTTCTATAGGTATTTTGCTTTCGATAGATATTTTGACTTTCGATGTTTTGTCTCTTGATTTTTTGTCTTTTTATATTTTGTCTTTTCGATGTTTTGTCTTTCGATATTTCATCTTTCGATATTATGCTATTCGATGTTTTGCGGTTTCGATATTTGCGATTCGATATTTTGCCAGTTCAATATTCTGCTTTTCGATATTTTGCAACTTCGATATTTTTCCCTTTCGATATTTTGCATTCCTTATTGTGTCACTTCGATATTTTACCTTCTATATTTTGTGATTGCATATTTTGAATTTTCATATTTTGTCCGGAACCCGTTGAACACCTCCCCCCGCTAGTTCTAACTCGACTCCTGGGTCACGACGCGATATGTGGAAGGCGGCGTTCGAAAGAACGTCCAAAATAATTACGAACTTACTTCAGTCACTTGTCTAGGTCACAGGTCAGGTCACGAGAGGTCATTAACCCGCGCATAACTGGGGGGCTCTACAGAGCCCCCCCCCGTTTTTCAGCAATATCTTCTAAACCGTTTGACGGATCAACACGAAACTTGCGGTACCTTCCAAGGCATCAATTTGACACCATGTTTTTAAAATCTGAACTTTCTAGCTACCATAGTTTGACCGTAAATGACGCCAGAGTGACGTCATGTCGGCCGATTTTCATGCAAAATACTGAATTACGGCAAACGCTCTCAAGAGCTCAGTTTTAAAGCTATGTAGATCCATTTTCTTTGCATGAGTGGACTACAAATTCACCTAGCTATCACACTGCTATCTCGAATTTTCGATATTTTGATGATTTTGAAAAAAAACATGTATTTACAATTACCAAATAAATATTTTTTTTTCAAAAAGTTTTTGACTTTTCGCAAAAACCAGAATATATGTGATAGAACATACACTGATGAACTACATTTGCAAGTTTTAGCCCAATTTCTTCAAAAATAGCCAAGTTATTCGCATTATTGTCAAAATTTTACATTTTTTAAAATCCTTTTTTTAACCCGCGCACCGACGGGGTCTGCGCCAACTTCGCACCGACGGGGGGGGGGCGGATGACCGCCCCCCTGAGATCTCGAGAACGAAGCAAGATAGCGACAAGCGGTAAACGGCATCGGATACGCACGGTCAAGATCTACAATTTTTTACAAAGGTCATTTTCAGGTAAGGTCAAAGATGACGTCACAGGGGTCGAAAAAGTCAAAATGGCGGCGCTAGATATGGAGAGTTTTTCTCGAATAACGTTCGAATTAGTCAAGATAGGAACAAACTAAGGGCATCATCGTGATCCTCTCGTCAATCCGCATCGAATCATATATATGTTGACCTCGAAAGGTCAAGGTCAAAGGTTGACCCCAGGTCACGTGACCTCGAGGTCATCATGTATATCATTCGATGCGTCTTGACGAGCTGAACGCAATGAGACCATCCACGCGTCTGTATCTTGTTCCTGTACGGAGTTATTGGCCAAAAACTTTTGGTGACCTTTGATGACGTCACATGACCTCACAGCTGCCCAACAGCAAAACAGACCTCAATGTAGTGAAGGTTGATCGTATATGAAGTCATGTATGGTATATGGGGCCATTCCGACCCGTTTTAGTGGTAAAAACAGGGAGTTGATTTTTCCCCCGTTGACTTATAATGGGGAGGTCGCGAAATTGACCTGACCTTAGGTCACCGATATCAAAATTCCGAGATATACAAATTGTAGCTACTAATGACCTTATAACATCCTGCGACTTTCAAAGGCCTCCGACATATACTGTAGCTCTGGCACGGTGACAAATTTGCAAAAAAGTGACTTGAGGTTGGGTCATTCAAAGTGACCTGGTGACCTGACCTTGAAAGGTAGGAGGTTCAAACTTGCACATCATGTGTAAAATTGATGTGAACGGCGTTTGATAGCCCTGTCAAATTTGTTGAAGGGAACTAAATTTCATTGACCTCGGGGTCACCGATGACGTCACAGGTCAGGTCAAAGATAAAATGTTTCACCGTTCACAGGGCTTCTAGGTGCTATAACACTGAGTAAAACGCATTTTGTCGAAAATCAACGATAGGGCGTCAGTTGTCTAGTACATATGTTGCTATTAGAGGTCACTGGTCATACCAGGTCAGGTCACAGGTCAGGTGACCAAAGGTCACCATGGGTCACCACATGAACCCAACTTTACTAAGGTTGTGCGATGCATGTTTTATGGCCAGTTTTTCATTTCCAACTCAATGGTGTCAGTTATAAGACCATCAGGTACGGTTTAGGTAACTTTCTGGTGGAGGTCAGGTCAAGGTCAGGTCAAAATAGGTCAAATTTTAAAGTTGATATTTTTGCATAAAATGGGTAGTGATTCGATGCAGCTCGTCACGATAGTGGTCTTTGTTTTGCGGTACGAGGTCTAGCCCTCGCCGGACCTATTGGTTTTTTACATACGCGCCGGCCGAGGGGGGGGGGGGGGGCGGGTACGACCCCCCCCCCTCGCCGTTTCGCCCCTGGTGGAGCTAGCGCGTCGCGGAAAAAACGAGCGTGTGCGCCGTTACGAGACGCAGAGATTGGTACCCGATTTTAAGTTCCTAGGTCAACCGGTGACCTCTGAGGTCAGGTCAAGTGCCCCAAGGTACGGTTCAGTTTTTGGTGAATAACTTCGCAAAAAACGGCCGCAGAGCGCCGATTTTGGCAGCATCTTGTTCGTCTCGCTCAGGCGCGTCGAATGATATACTTTTTGTCCGGGTCAGGTCAACTTGGGGTGTTGACCTCAGGTCAAGGTCAGGTCAGCACCCCCAGGTCACGAAGTTGGTCGAAAGAGGTCATGTCGCATATCATTCGATTCGGCAGGTCTTCCTGAGTCCATTGGTGGCTTTCCCGACTCGCTAGCTCAATTTGATCAAGAGTTACTGACGAAAAACTAATATGACCTTGATGACGTCATAAATGACGTCACGCAAGGTCAACATTGCAAAAGTGACGCATCTAACCTTGCAAGGAGTGCATCAAATCACGATTCTGTGTGCTTGAGATAGTTGGAGATCGTTCCCGGCGCCAGAATAGCAGTTTGAATTTTTCCCCATTGACTTATAATGGTGAGGTCACGAAAATGACCTGACCTCATATGACCTTTAGGAAAAATCCGAGATATACAAGTTGTGGGACTCATAATGGATACTAGATCCTGCAAGTTTCATTTCCCTGTGACATCTCCTCTGACAGTGAGGGCGTTGCGAAGTTGCGACATCTGAAGACCGTGCAGAGGTTCACTTATGACGTCATAGGTCAGTGACCTGACCTGACCCAAAAATGCGGTTGGTGTCAAAAGATCCGGCTTGGATCAAAGGTCAGGTATGCCAAGTTTCAGCTCGCTATCGCCAGCGTGTTCGGAGCTATCGCGAAAAAACCCTATGGGGGGGCGGCACCCGCCCCCCCCCCCCCTCGGCCGGCGAGGGCTAGAATTGCTAAAAACTGAGTTTGAAAATTTGACGTCATCAATTTTTAACAGTTTTTTCGCTATAACTTGGCCAAAATAGGAGGTATCAATCTCAAATTTGGTATGTAGATAGAACGTGGTAGGGGCTATCACATATATTCCGGTTTTTTTCGAAATTCTAAAAACGTTTCGGATTTTTCGTATTATATTCAAACAAAATATTTTTTGATTTTTTGGGTCAAAATCCAAAAAAAATTTAAAAGCCCAGATAGCAGTTTTGTAGCCCTCTTACTTCTACACCTTTTATATCTGAAACATTTTTATGTATCTCTAAAGCTGTAGGCCTGATAGCTCTTCCCGCTAAACCTTTTTTTTTGTCGAAAATGGCAAAATGACGTCACTCTGACGTTATTAGCGGCTAACCTATCATAGCCTTTGGAAAAAATGTTCGTCACAATGTGCAATAGCTATTCACGGGAGGGTACTGAAAGTTTGGTGACGATCGGCGCAGCAGTTCTCGAGATATATCGAAAAAAAAAAACTAAACGGGGGCAAAAAAATGCCCCCCCCCCCACCGCCTGGAAGGTTAAATAAGACGTAGGCTATTTACCGTGCAGATGATGAAGTGTAGTGGCTGTTTTGTTTCCGCAGATATTCGGTGGTCGGGATAAGGCCCAGGAGGAGGAGGTGCAGCGCTGGATCGAGACGGTTACTGGTGAACAGTGGCCGGCCGGGGTCCCGTACAGCGATTTCCTCAGGTAGGCTCACCTCCACATGCACCGAGACCCAGTGCAGCGAGCACCACCACTCCACACGCCGAGACCCAGTACAGCGAGTTGTACCTCGGATGGGTCTAACTACACACACCGAGACTTAAACCTAGTAAAGTGGGTACCACGGATGGGTTCACTACACACACCGAGACTTATAGTACAGTTGGTACCACGGGTGGGTTCACTACACACACCGAGACTTATCCTTCCAGGCGGTGGGGGGGGGGCATTTCCCCCCTTAGTTTTTTATATATCTGGAGAACCGCTGCGCCGATTGTCACCAAACTTTCAGTACCCTCCCGTGAATAGCTTTTAGTACACATTGTGACAAAAAAAAATCAAAGGCTATGATAGGTTGGCCACTAACCCGCGCCCCACTGGGGTCTGCGTATAACACGCCCTACTGGGGGGGGGGGGGCTATTCATAGCCCCCCCCCCCCACTCCTAACTCCGAAACTACTACGCCGATCGTCAAAATTCAAACGGCGTCTGATAGCCCCGGAAAAACTGTCGAACGAAATCTAATTTCATTGACCTCGAGGTCACCGATGACGTCACAGTTCAGATCAAAGTAAAAATTATTAGCATTTTGGCTTGTTCACGTTTTGGGCTCTGGCCGCCGTCTTACAAGTCAGATCAGGCTCATTTTTGGATCACACACTCGTGAGAAGATGCTCTATATACCCTGAGGGTACCAAACTTGTACTTTGATTTTCAGGTCAAGGTCAGGTCATCACAGGTCACGAAAATAATATATCATGCGTCAGTCACGTGACACATGTTTTATGGTCAATTTAGGTCCGAGATTTCGAATTTGATGTCGTCTGTGTCATTCGAGGTCATTTTGATTAAATTTAGCTTAGGTCAGGTCACTTCCAGGTCAAAAAAAGTCAAATTTTGAAGTTGAAATTTTTCAACAAAAAAGGTGTCTATTGGATGCAGTTTGAGCTCAGGAACACGATGGTGCTATCTATATTGGCGTACGATGTCAAACACGTGCTGAAAAATTGATTTGAAAAAATAATAATTGTGAATGTTTTGCAATAATGCGTAAAACTTGGCCATTTTTTAACCCTCGCACGACCAGGCCATTTCTCATAACACGAACGACCAGGGGGGGGTTGTTACGACCCCCCCCTGGCGTTTCGAAACGGAAGGTCGTAGAGCTTAGCGGAAAAAACCAACGGATTGCTCTCAACGAGATCTCGCGATTGGTGGTATATTTTTCGGTCCTAGGTCAACATTTGACCTACTTTTGACCGGTCAAAGGTCAAATTTTCGGAAAAATAGACTTTTTTCAACTTCCGGCGGCGATTGCGGCAAAACGGTGGGAGATATCGACTTGAAACCTTCACTATCGTGTTCCTTGATCAATTTTCTATCGTTTGGTATGTATTTCGTTTCCCTAGCTCTAAAAATGGCGCGTTGGGAGCGCCGGAAGTCGGCAAGGTCACAGTCGGCGGCAGAAATTCGAAAAATCAAAATTTAAATTTTTGAAATCTGATTGTATTTTTGGATTTGGGAGGTCCATTTGCTCCCTATAGAAGCTAATATTGCTGCATATTCCCATTGAGCTGACAAGAATTAGCAAAATAGTGGTTCGGGCGCTTTTCAAAAATAGTACCGGACGCTGTTCCTCTTGTGACGTCATAGCTCCGTGACCTGACCTGACCCGGTCAAATTTCTTATACCATATGATAGCCAATACTTGCCCCAACATGCATGGGAAGTTTCATCACGATCCATCAACCGATGTCCGTACCACCGGCAGGAAACCTCGGGCGTTGGCACTCAGTTTGTGAAAATCCGGCCGGAGGCTGTACCTCTTATGACGTCATAACTCCGTGACCTGACATGACCCGATCAATTTTTTTCGGCAAAAGATGCGCAAAGGTTGCCCCAGAGGGTATTGAAAATTTCAGCCCGCTACGACAAGCCGTTTAGCGTGCACTTTGAAAAAACTCCAGGGGGGGGGGGGGGGTTGATACAACCCCCCTAGGCGTTCTAGGGTTAAGATATTTAGCTAAAAATTGCTAGAGTTAGTCATAATAATGCGTTCTATCACATACATTCCAGTTTTTCGAAAAACCAAAACAAAATTGAAAAAATGTAAAAATAGTAATTTTGGATTTTATTATATCAAATTTTCGACATTTTCAAAATTTCGAAAATCCGAGATTGCAGTTTGATAGCGCAGTCTATTCTGAGTCCTCTCATGCAAAGAAATTGGATCTAGCTTAAAAACTAAGCCCTTGGGAGCGATTGCCGTGGTTCAATGTTTTGCGTCGAAATCGGCCGAACATGACGTCACTCTGACGTCATTTCCGGCCGACCTATAGTAGTTATGAAGTTCAAATTTTGACACAAGGTGTCAAATTGATGCAGCCTAAGGTACTGAAAATTTGGCGTCGATACGTCAAGCGGTTTGGAAGTTATTGCAGAAAAACGGGAGGGGGGCTATGAATAGCCCCCCCCCCCCAATGGGGCGCGGGCTAATGACGTCAGAGTGACGTCATTTCTGCCAATTTCGACCCCGAAAAAAGGTTTCGCGGGAAGAGCTTTCAGGCCTACAGCTTTAGAGATAGGTAATCGGAGTTGGAGTCAAAGTCACTGAAATTCCATCGGCTATAATCGATGGAACCAGAGCTGCGTATAGGCAGCTCTGCTTGGGTCCTTTTAATACCGCGTCTTGAATGACACATTGAACGGCAAAGACGTTGTAAATTCCGTTTAACTCTTTCATTAGACTTGTAGATGGTACGTACGGTCGTGTTGTTCTTTGATCGGATAATATGTGCAACTTAGGCCAAGTAAAGACATATCGATGTGGAAAATAGCGAGAATGACACGGGTTGGCAAATTATCCAATAACTCATTGTTTCACGAGTTAATTAACCCGCGACCGCCTGGGGGGGAGGTCGGATCCGACCCCCTCTGTTTTTCTCGAATAACTCATGAACCGCTTATGCTATCCACTTACAACTTGGCATACCTCCTCCCCCATCAAGTTGACGTCTCCTGTGCAATTTTTAAGAAAAAATTTCCAAATATTTTTTAGATATATCGATTTTAGTGATGTAACTACATGGCGTTTTCAGTCAAAAATGGTAAATGTTTAAAAAATCGCCAAAAATCGTGGTTTTAAGCAAATTGCAAATTAAGGACACGAAAAGACGCAGCTCAACGAGTTTTTAAAATGGCTATCTCGGATTTTCCATAAAATGCATTTTTCACCCCTAAAAATTAAAAAAAAACTATATTTTTTGGAAAATAGCTAATAAAATCCAAAATTTTGGGAATTTCAAAAAATCGGAATATATGTTATAGAGCTCTATTAGAACATTAGATGTCCCAAATTTCAACTTTCTATCTTGATTTTTGACCCCTAAATTGTAAAAATAGCTTCAACATGCATAGGGCATGGTGACTTCATAAGCATTTTCGTGAATTAGAGGCACTTCTGAACATCGCATGTGAAAACGAATGGCACCACTAGATTTCTGGGACAAAGCTCGTCTCGAAAAGTGTATTTTTATGTCAAGAATAAAAAGTTGAAAAATTGACTTTTTCCTTGGCCCTCGTTTAGTTATGTATGGTATAAACGATTTTATATGCTTTCAATGCACACTTATCACCAGCACAGTGACTTGGGGTCACATATAACCATTACCATCGGATTCGGCGTGAAAAATAAGCCATAAAACTTGTGTCGCACGCCCATGTAGCAGAAAGTGAAAACCGTGACCTTTCGTGACCTGACCTGGCCTTGACCTGTACTTCGTATGACCCCTATACGCACATGGTACCTTCACTAGGCCTTTGAGGTTATTTTTGGTGAGTTCCGAGCAGCAGCTATCGATTCCGCTGTCCGTAAGCCCATGCAAAACCCCTGAATTTGACCTTTGACCTGACCTTGACCCGAAAGTTGACCTCAATCTTAAAATCCTAAGAGTGCTTTGGGAAGGTCTCGTAGAGACCTTTCGAACGCCGCCTCGCGGGGCTCGAAACGACCATTGGTTCTCGAGATAACAGGGGGGGGTCGGATCCGACCCCCCCCAGGCTGTCGTGGGTGCGGAAATAGCCCAGGCGGTGCCGGGTTATCCCTCGCCGGCCGAGGGGGGGCGGGTGCTGCCGCCCCCCATAGGGTTTTTTCGCGATAGCTCCGAACACGCTGGCGATAGAGAGCTGAAACTTGGCATACCTGACCTTTGATTCAAGCCGGATCTTTTGACACCGACTGCATTTTTGGGTCAGGTCAGGTTACTGACCTATGACGTCATAAGTGAACCTCTGCACGGTCTTCAGATGTCGCAACTTCGCAACGCCTTCACTGCCAGAGGAGATGTCACAGGGGAATGAAACTTGCATGATCTAGTATCCATTATGAGTCCCACAACTTGTTCATCTCGGATTTTTCCTAAAGGTCATATGAGGTCAGGTAATTTTCGTGACCTCACCATTATAAGTCAATGGGGAAAAATGAAAACTGCTATTCTGGCGCCGGGAACGATCTCCAACTATCTCAAGCACACAGAATCGTGATTTGATGCACTCCTTGCAAGGTTAGATGCGTCACTTTTGCAATTTTGACCTTGCGTGACGTCATTTATGACGTCATCAAGGTCATATTAGTTCTTCGTCAATAACTCTTGATCGAATTGAGCTAGCGAGTCGGGAAAGCCACCAATGAACTCAGGAAGACCTGCCGAATCGAATACTATGCGACATGACCTCTTTCGAACAACTTCGTGACCTGGGGGTGCTGACCTAACCTTGACCTGAGGTCAACACCCCAAGTTGACCTGACCCGGACAAAAAGTATATCATTCGACGCGCCTGAGCGAGGCGAACACGATGCTGCCAAAATCGCGGCTCTGCGGCCGTTTTTTGCGAAGTTATTCACCAAAAACTGAACCGTACCTTGGGGCACTTGACCTGAACTCAGAGATTACCGGTTGACCTAGGACCTTAAAATCGGGTACCAATCTCTGCGTTTCGTAACGGCGCACACGCTCGTTTCTTCCGCGACGCGCTAGCTCCACCAGGGGCGAAACGGTGAGGGGGTCGTACCCGCCCCCCCCCCCCTCGGCCGGCGCGTATTTAGAAAACCAATAGGTCCGGCGAGGGTTAATGAGAAAATAACAGTAGGTAAACCGCTTTTCTTATAACTTACCCTGCACATAAATTTATTAATTTCTTCACTTTCAGGTACTGACACATAAAGACATTGCCTTCTGAAAAATTGCACAGCAAGCCTGCTACTACACCACACTCCCGTTTGTCACAACGCTAAGCAGCGGCGTTCACTCGGCTTGCTCCTACCTTACGATAATTTTCCCGCTAGATGGCAGGCCTGAGCTCGATGTCGCCAGAAACTGCTAAGACACCAATCCACTATTATCTCATACACCATTGTATTGTATTGTATTGTATTGTATTACCTTCATGGACAATCCACGCGGGGCGTGGCGATTACAGTCCAGAGTCTGAGTCGGGCACAAACAAAAACATGCGGGGACAAGAAACACAGGCATACAGATTCAATCGCTGGACATTCGCTCTCTCTATACCTATACAAACGGACGATTCAAGACAGCACACCGCACACGGATGTCGCACCTCCTTCCTCTGACACGGGTCATCGTCGGGCGGTCGCCATCGCCGGACAGACTGCAGCCTTGGCCGCACGGGCGAATGGGGCGGGGCGCTGTTCGATGACACCGGGAGGCAGACTGTTTAGTAGCGCCGCGGCCCGGTAGCCGAATCGTCGCTTGCCAGTCTCGAGCCGAGCCGCGAGCGTGGAAGGTGGAAAAGGTGGTCCTGTCGAGTGGACCTCTCTCGCGCGTCACTGTTATTCATGAAGATGGCAGCTAGTGCTTCGGGCTCGCCGTTGCTTATTATTTTCTGCGCAGTTACCATGGTTTTAAAGGGACCCTCCCACCTTAACATTAGTTTTGAGTTGAGATAGCCAAATTGGTGGCCATGGCCTGAAAATACCGGTTTGGGCACTCACAACATCGAAAAATGCTTTAATTCGGAGATATGGAATTTCAAACTTGCAGTTTTCGGATTCTAAGGGGCTAATGCATTGGTATGCCCCCTTAGAATTTGTGACGTCAGCGGAGGTCTAACGATTTTTAAATCTTTTACTAAAACGTTTGGTAGCACGCGGTGGTATATGCTACTTTGCGCGCAACAAATGCCGCACTTTCAAATAAAGTCGCTAGGAACAGCGGAGATCCGAGAAAGTAAACAATAGTAAAAGTCTAATATCTTGAAAACCGGTGAATATTTTTCGATGAAATTTGGTAGATATTCGTTTTCGCTCTTCCTGAACCGAGCGACATCACTTTCATGCCAATTCATTAACTTTTTTGAAGGTGGGAGGGTCCCTTTAACATCGGCCATAGCTTTCGGAGGCATCCATCCGAGTGAATCGCGGAGGCCAGAGACGTGATCGAATTTCCGGCGGCCGAATATGACCCGTGCTGCAAAGTTTAGAATTTTTTGAAGTCGGTCGAAGTTTTTCTGGGAGCCATTTCCATATACAGTGAGGCAGTACTGGACGCGCGAGATGACGAGTGCAGTCACGATCGTTTTGAGGATACCGTCTGGGAGGCAGTGTCGTGCGTGGGAGAGGCCGATCAGTACGCCCATGCAGCGACGGCTCAGCTCGGCCACGTGTGCTTCCCAGGTGAGTGCGCCGTCGAATACAACACCCAGGTTTCCCACCTGCGCGCACGGCAGGAGCTCAGCGTCACGGAAAGAGATTTTGAAGCGAGGCAGGCTACGTAGGTTTTGTCGGCTACCGAATACCATCAGTTGAGTTTTAGAAGCGTTGACTTTCAGGGCGTGTGCGCAGAACCATGCGTTAAGTGACTCTAGCGATGCCTCCATGCGCGAGATGAGACTCCTGATGTCGTTGCGTGGGCCGCTCACCAATATCTGGGTGTCGTCTGCGTACTGATAAGCGGTGGCGTCTCCGGCAAATAGTGAGAGGTCGTTGGAGAATATAGTGAAGAGGAGGGGACCCAAAGCCGAACCCTGGAAAACTCCTACGGTGTTTGGGAGCGGTCGAGAGGTTATCTTACGGCCGGTTTTGTCTTTCAGGGATACACTCTGCGTGTGTCCCTGAAGATAAGCGGAAAACCAGGAGGTCTCAATACCGTGGATTTGGAGCTTTTTGACAAGGAGTTCATGGTCAATGACGTCAAAACATTTGCTAAGGTCTATGAGGCATAGCATTGAGATCTCACCCCTATCGGTGGCGGCAAGGATGCTATCTGTGACTGACAGCAGTGCAGTCTCAGTGGAGTGTCGGGGGCGGAATCCGTGTTGGGTAGACGAAAGAAGGTGGTTATGGGTGAGATAGTGATAGAGCTGCTGATGGATTACACGCTCGATGATTTTCATGATTACGGGAACTAGGGAGATCGGTCTGAAATTGCTGGGGTCAGATGGGTTGCCCGACTTGAAGATCGGTTGAACGATAGAGTGTTTCCAGAGGTCAGGAATGTCGGAGCGGGTGATTGAGACGTTAATGATGTGTTAAATGATGTCGCCAATAGTTTGGAAGCATACTTTTAACATGCGGATGCATATACCGTTAGTGCCACGCGCGGCAGAGTTTCGCATGCTGAACACTGTGAGTCCGAGTTCCCCGAGAGTGGGATGGGACCATACCCGAGGGATGGGACTTCTGTCTATGAGTGTGATCCGACAGTGAGTGTTGGTGTTTTCAGGGATGGTGAGGCACTCTGCAAACTGATGAACTCCCTTTCGCCTGGCTGCATCAAGCGTATCAACACATCAGGATCGTCATTCAACTACATGGACAACATTCATAGGTCAGTTCCTGCGGTCTATGGGAAAATACTCTGAAATTTAGATGTTCAGATGCACGGATATTTTTATTCCCGAGCACATTTTAGTGCTGGTTTTAAACATATACCTACAAGAGTATCAATAATAGCATTCCTCTCGTGGAGTCGAAAATGAATGATGATAGCAAAAGAAAAAGTTTTTGAGGGGCTTTTGGCATTGCATCATTATCCGCTCTATTTTTTTATGATGGCGATGACGCAATGCTGAAAGTTTCTCAAACAGTTGGTTCTTTTGAACCCGCAATTCACCTCTATTTACACCTCTTGTAGCATGACTTATGTCATTATTGTAACTTTTCAAAACTTATTGTTTTCGTTGGAATCATGCTTATTGCTTATGTTCCCGTCCATGCATTTTATTTGCAAAAACAACTTGAAAATCTGTACATAAAGACCATTTCAAATGAAGATACGTAGAAAATTGGTAGGTCTGGCGACGGATGCACTGGATACCTATATCTTTGCGCTTGCATAATGCTTGCAGAATGCAATGAAACTACGCAACTCATCACGTTGTGGCTATTTTCGTCGTCATGCTTTCCGCTCGTTACATCTCGTCCGGTGCGTGCCGCTAGCTTCCTGAGGGCCGCCGTGGCGTACGGAGTTGCGGATGTCGACCTGTTCGAGGGCTCGGACCTGCTCGAGGGGCGCAACATCGAGAGGGTCACGCGCGCCATCCAGGCCGTGGCCCGGCAGGTACGTATGTTGTGTCCACGCCACTGGTGGCCCGTCTCCGGACCTCTTGTCCACGGGGCCAATTGTGCTCATTTCAAGTATGACATTTACAGACTTGGAATCATTTAGGAATGAAAGCAGTATGGCGCAAAGCCTTAGGGACTGAGACGTGTTATAACTATTACATTGTTCTAAAAAAATGGTCGACTTATTTAAAACTTCGTCACGACTTACGGGGCACAAATCAAATGAAGTTCTCTGGGTGTTCACTGTTCATTACATGTACATATAGGTATGAACAGTAAATCCATGGGTGAATGTACTCAAACATGTCATGCTGCTGGATGCTTATCTGATAGAATACCTATCATAAAAAGATACTAGCAGTGTTCACGACGTCCATCTGGTACACATTTGGTGCACATGTGGTGCAGATTAGGTGCATATTCGGTCATTTTTTTAATCAGATTTGTTTTTATTGTATACCTATCTATGTATGTATTTTCCGAAAATATTTAGATTTTAAAAATCCGAAATGGCAGTTAGCTATCCACGTGTACTTTTAGTCCACTCCTGCAAAGAAATCGGATCTAGCTTAAAAATTGAGCGTTTGAGAGCGATTGCCGTAGTTCAATGTTTTGCATCAAAATCGGCCGAAATTACGTCCCTCTGACCTCATTTCCGGCCGACCTGTGGTAGCTAAAAGGTTGTAATGACAACAAAAGGTACCATATTGTCGCCGCTGAAGGTACTGTAAGTTTCGTGTCGATACGTCAAGCGATTTAGAAGATCTTGCGGAAAAACGGGAGGGGGCTCTGTAGAGCCCCCTCCCCAGTCATGCGCGGGTTAACGGTACATAGTCACCAGCATCCAGCATTATGACACGCCGGTCGGCCGTCCCAACCATTCAATACGCCCCTGTCCCATCCGCCTGTCCACCCGTGTGCGTCAGGCCCTGGCCCACCCATTCAATACGCCCCGGGTCCCGCCCGCCTCTGTGTGCGGCAGGCCCACCGTCACCCGGAGTACCGCGGCCCGCTGATGGGCCCGCGGCCCGCGCAGCCCAACGTCCGCCACTTCGACGAGCAGACGCTGGCGGCCGGCAGCGCCACGCTCACCCAGCAGACGGGCTACAACCGGGGCGCCACGCAGGCCGGCCTGAGCTTCGGTAAACCGCGCCGCATCATCATCGGCAAGTGACCGGTTCTCCAGCCGGCAGGCGACGGAAGAGGATGGAGCGATGATAACGATTCCATGCGGGCCAGTGTGGCCAGACGCGCGTCGTGAACACCTCTGCTTGATGATGGATTCATGAGACTGAGAAGATTAATGAAAACTGCGTTGGGATGTTCACTAGCTATACCTAGAATGAATGCATGAGTGCTGATGAAAATGATTGAATGACGATCAGTGAAAATTTCACGACGCGCTTTCGAGCGTTGTTTAATTGCGTCTTATGCACTATTTTCTTATGTAACATATTTTCATCTCTCTCATTGAAATACAGGAACTGGTGCAGCAGTAACAGTTTGTAGGTCTTTCATGGTTCAGCGTCGTCCCGAAAAAGAATGGTCACTTGCACGCTTCCTAATTCCTATGCTAGTCTGAATATTGTGCAAGGATGGCATCGACACCTCGAAACTGTGCGCTTACTCAGTCTCGGAATCAACTTTGTATGATAGCATTTGACTTCCACGGTATGTACACACTTCTACCTTTAACCCGCGCACCGACGGGGGTCTGCGCCAACTTCGCACCGACGGGGGGGTGGGCGGATGACCGCCCCCCCCCTGAGATCTCGAGAACGAAGCAAGATAGCGACAAGCGGTAAACGGCAAGGGATACGCACGGACAAGGTCTACAATTTTTACTAAGGTCATTTTCAGGTCAGGTCAAAGATGACGTCACAGGGGTCAAAAAAGTCAAAATGGCGGCGCTAGGTATGGAGAGAGTTTTTCTCGAATAACTTTCGAACTAGTCAATATAGGAACAAACTAAGGGCAGCGTTGTGATCCTCTCGTCAATCCGCATCGAATGATATATATGTTGACCTCGAAAGGTCAAGGTCAAAGGTTGACCTCAGGTCACGTGACCTCGAGGTCATCATGTATATCATTCGATGCGCCTTGACGAGCTGAACACAATGAGACCATCCGCGTGGCTGTATCTTGTTCCTGTACGGAGTTATTGTCAAAAAACCGCTGGTGACCTTTGATGACGTCACATGACCTTACAGCTGCCCAACAGCAAAACAGACCTCAAGGTAGTGAAGGTTGATCGTATATGAGGTCATGTATGGTTTATGGGGCCATTCCGACTCGTTTTAGTGGTAAAAACAGGGAGTTGATTTTTCCCCCATTGACTTATAATGGGGAGGTCGAGAAATTGACCTGACCTTAGGTCACTGATATCAAAATTCCGAGATGAACAAATTGTAGCTACTAATGACCTAATAACATACTGCGACTTTCAAAGGCCTCCGACATCTACTGTAGCTCTGGCACGGTGACAAAGTTGCAAAAAAGTGACTTGAGGTTGGGTCATTCAAAGTGACCTGGTGACCTGACCTTAAAAGTTAGGAGGTTCAAACTTGCACACCATGTGTAAAATTGATGAGAAAATAGTCGTACCAAATTTCGCGGCGCTTCCCGCTATCCGCGAAAAGCCTCAGGGGGGCGGATATCCGCCCCCCCGTCGGTGCGCGGGTTAATAAGCAGCATTGAACACATGCCACTGTATTCACCTGTTACTGCATTGCCCAGCTTTTTATGTGGATTATGTACGAAAAATGCTGAGAATTAGACAGCGGAGTGTCAACTTGAATGCAAATCCATGTATACGATCGTAATAAGGATTATCTCATCCATGGTAACAACTACATAATTTGAGAGTGCCACTGCAAATGATACAGATGTCCGTAATTTGTAATCTACGTTCTCAGAACAACGGTTGCTAAAGTCTGTTTTTTTTTTTAGCAGCTGCCGGTCGTTTAAAGCGCTTTAAATGCACCTGCACGTGATTTGAGATGTTCAAACATAAAAACGAGCCCTGAAAACGAGCCACTTTTTGGGCCAGTTCACAGTTGTGCTCAGGGGGGTGACACCGTAATGCTGTGCCATAGGCCGATGTTGTAGCCAGCTGATGAGCAGGAATGACGTCATCGGCCCATGATAGCCCTGACCAATGTGATCCAACCCATTGCGACTTAAGGTGACCTCTGTGACTTGGCCTGACCCATCGTGACCCTGGGTGACCTCTGTGACCTGACCTGACCCAGGGTGACCTGAGGTGACCTAAAGTGACCTTTGTGACCTGAAATGACCCAGCGTGACCTAATTTGACCTTTTTATCTGGAATTCACCCATTTGGACCCCTTCGTTCAGCTTTTCGCGTAAGTACAAGACTTCTGAACTAGTTATTATCGCGTAAATGCCTTATTCGTGATAGCGCCGTGTAGCAAGCGGTTCACCTAGGTCCTAGTGTGAACGCGGTCACGGCTTTCAGCAAGCTGGCACGCGGAGCCCGGAGGTCTTAGCTCCGCGTTGCCGGAGCTGAGCGCCAGCTGGACGACACGCGGCAGGAATGTATACGGTCACTGGCTGGTCTTCATGTCAGCGAATGCCGAATGGCATGGCCAGCTCAAGCACAGGCCGCTGACTCCAGGCGGCCAGCTGCGCCTGCAAGCTGTCTGCCATCAAGCCGGTGGCGGCGGCGTGGCCAGCGTGCCGAGCAGCTGCACCGCGCGACACCGCAGTCGGCAGCGGCCCCATCTTCGACTAGCACCGGCCTCGCCGAGCGCCGCCCCGGCGTCAGCTACTACTGGTTCAGGTCGGGCACCATGGCCGCAGTGGCTCGGCGCAGTCGGCCCAGAGCGCGGCCAGCTCGGCCAGCACCGGCAGCGACAAGTCCAGAGCGTCCGTGGCACGGCTGACCAGCGGCAGGTGGATGCAAGTCCCCCCCCCCCCCCCGAAATTTGGTTGCATCGAAATTCGCCACGACATTCAGTTCCTAGGGCCATAGCGTTTCCATGCTACATGCTCTGACTTTGTGAAGCGATATTTCCAACGCTTTTACTTTTTTTGTAAATGGGCTGCACCTTACCCCATCAGCCCCGCGTTGAGGCAGAACCCACCGGCCAGGCTCCATCTGCCTCTCCCGCACTAACAGAATCACTTAATCAGCCTAACATAATCAGAATCGCCGATCAGTTCCGGCCGGTACAGCCTGTTGGTCTCTGAGCCGATGGCACCGGAGCCGCAGCGGTTAGCCAAAGCTTAGCAAGTGCTCCAGAGCCCCGTCAAACGACTGAGGAGGCACCTAGCAGCAGCACAGTGCCGTCGACCGTTCCCGAGCCGATAACCAAAACTACAATGAGTTCCACACAGTCACTATGTCCGCCGTCGATGAACAGTTGCCCCCTCCCCCTCCCCAATTCCAAGCTGGATCCGCGCTTGAACTCAGTAGTTGACAGTATTTTGTTGACAGTATTTTTGGTTTTAACTTCTATGCTGTCTAGCCACGAATGTGCATTGTGCATAGCTTGGCATTTATATCAACCCATGACATGCTAATGATCGTGTACAAAACAGCTGGTTTTGTGTTTTGGTCACCTAGTTTCTGTCTACCCGTTTGCTACGGGCGGGCCCACGGCTTAGGTACAGCAGTCGGTACCGTCGGCACCGACTGCAAAATAGAGAAAGTTGGCTGCAATTTTTTGCTGTTGAAAGGTTGCAAGGATATTGAGTCAAACGGTTAAGAGGCCGCTGAACGTTTATTGCATTCCAGTTGGATAAAATCGATCACGAAACAATTGGCGCAAACGCCATTCAGTTTCGCTGCCGTGGGTGGGCGGAGTCGGCGGAGTATGGGCCGATGACGTCATCCTCCCGCCGGCCGTGATTCGCCCCGATTGGCCGATGTCCATACCTGGTTAGAGGGCCTTGGTTGTGCTCGTTGCGCTCGTTGTGCTGGCAGCGCCGATAAATATATCAGTATCCGATCTTATTGGACCTTAAATCATAGGCGTAGGAACAGGGGGGGCCAGGTGGGCAAGTGCCCACCCACTTTTCGAGGTGGGGGGGCCAACCATGTGTTTTGGCCCACCCACTTTTTACTCGAGGCCCCTCGTCCCGATTTGAGAGGACGCCATCACCTTCCAGAATAAACAAACTCGGTAAAAATAAGTTCCACGAATCCCCACGCACGGACTCCAAGGGGCCGTGATGGATCCAAGGAGGCCCTCTGTTCATACTTGTCAGTCGAAGCCCCTGAGACTGATGGCCTGAGAGGCCCTAGTGGATCTGAGGAGGCCCCAATATCCACACTGGTCTGGGGAGGCCCCTGACACTGGCGGTCTGGGAGGCCCCTCCATCCACACTAGTCAGAATAGGCCCCTGACACTGGCGGTCTAGCCGAGGCCCCCTACCTTCACTAGTCAGAGGAGGCCCCTCTATCCTCAATAGTCAGAAGAGGCCCCTGAGACTGATGTCTGGGAGGCCTATCCATCTACACTGTAGTCAGAGGAGGCCCCTGAGACTGATGACCTGAGAGACCCTTATAAGCACACCAGGCAGAAGAGGCCCATTATACTGATGGACTGAGAGGCCCTTCTATTCATACTGGCCACAGGAGACCCCCAAAACTTTCGGTCTGGGAGGTTCCTCAATCCGGCACCAGTCAGAAGAGTCCCCTGAGACTGATGGCCTGGGAAGCCCTTATATTCACACTAGGCAGAGGAGGCCCCTGAGACTGATGGTATGAGAGGCCCTCATATTCACACCAGTCAGAAGAGGCCCCCGAGGCTGATGGCTGTGAGGCCCTTCTGTTCATATAACCGGCCACTGGAGGCCCCTGAAACCGGTGGTCTGGGAGGCCCTCTATCCACACTAGTCAGAAGAGGCCCCTGAGACCGATGGTCTGAGAGGCTCTTATATGCATACTGGCAACAAGAGGCCCCTGAGACTGATAAGTCAGAGAGGTCCACTCGTAATGAATCTGAGGGGGCCCTCTATCCACATTTACACTTTTCTAGGGAGGCCCCGGGACTGATGGTCTGAGAGGCCCTTTTATTTATACTGTCCACAAGAGCCCCCTGAGATCAATGGTCTGAGAGGCTCTTCTATTTATACTAACCAGAGGAGGCCCCTAGGATTGATGGTCTAACAGGCCCTTCTATTTATACTAGCCAGAGGAGGCCCATGAGACTGATGGTCTGAGAGACCCTTCTATTCAAACTAGGCAGATGAGGCCCTTGAGAATGATAGTCCGAAGAGCCATGCGGCGGCAACTGGCCGTGGCCATATTTCGGCTCGGTAGGGCCCCACAGAGCTCATGAGAGCACCTCAAGGGCTCCTAAGTAGACACGCTTATCCCCATAAGGGTGCCACGCTGGCTTCTGAAGGCTCCTTGTAGGCATCTAAGGGCCCTTTCCGGCCTCTAACGGCTCCATCTGCCTGTGATGGCTCCACACCAGTGTTTATGAGCGCCACACAGCGGCGCCTTTGAGGGTCATACTAGTGTCT